ACTGGGTCACACATCACTGTGTCCCCTAGGGACAGAGCTTGGCTGCGGCATCTCATCTGAGGATGCATCAGAGCTTGGGTGCTGCTGGGGAGGTGCAAGGTCACGATCTCATCTCCCACTGGCAGCGTGGAGGTTGACATGAGGAGGGAAGGGGTACGTGTGTGCTTGTGCTGCTTTGCTGCATAGGCACACCAGGTGCCTTGGGCATTTCCCTTGCCCAGATAAATTAAACCTTGCAGCTGGGGGGAGACCGTGTTTGCCAAGTTCTCACCAACCTGAAAAGAATTGTTGTTTGGTACTTAGAGTGGGATGAGGAAGGGTAATGAATGTTGGTGTATACGAATGAAATGTCCTCTCCTTGGAAATACCTGTTTTCAGTTTCAGGAGCTGAATTTATAAATGGCCTGAGTGAAAATTGCTACGTTAATGACATTTCCTGGCAAGAAGGCTGCTCTTCTGAACTGATTCATCTTTTTGTTGAGGAGATACTGGATAGTATTAGAATGCGTGGGGTATCCTGGCTACTTTCAAAACTCTTTTAAGATGCCCACTGCATTTAGAGCAACTGTTCCAAGAGAGGATTGATATTGGTAGCAAGTCCTATATATAACTGCTTGAATATTTTTCCTGAAATTCTGAAGTTGAATTTAAAGCAAGCAAAACTTTTATCAGTTTTTGTTCTATTCCACTTGAGGGGAAAAAAAATATTAAGTTCCTGAGTTCAGATTTCCCTGTTGTTGTTGTATTTTACTTAACAGTGGCCTTTTGAAACATAACTAATTAGGATTAAAGTGAGTAATAGTAAGAATGATGTTTTTAGATCAACCTCAGATGCTGAGGATGCTTAAAGTGAGCAATTTCTAGGAGTTACTTAGTGATATCTGAGACGGCAGCGACATCCTTCTCTAACCGTTGACAAATGCTGCACTTTAAGCTTCAGTATGTTGGCTATTACTAGTTCTTCTACAGTCTACACAGTAGCCAGAAAGACATTAAAAATGTATTATTAAATGATTGTAGACCTACAGACTGAAAGTACGTGCTGCTGTCTTACTGTAGGGATTTTCTACTTCTATTCCCCCCAGTATTTTTCCTGAAATACAAAGACCAAGGTATAGTTAGTGATTTAAATTTTGTTATTTCTCCCCCCACCTTCATGGAATTATAAACTCTTCCTCACACCTTCTTGATCTTCTTGTAAGATGCCAGTACAAACAGGAAGGTCATATTCAAGGAAGCAAACTTCGTGCTAGGCACCAGACATACGAGATGGGTGCAGTGCAAGTGACCCAGAGCACACATAATTAAGTTTGTGTTTTGACAGCTGTTATCTTTTAACTTTCATTTTACTATTCACTTACCATAATACTTTTGATTACTTTTTTGCCTCAACTCCTGTAGAATTTAACTTAAAATGTATTTTACTGCATTTATTGCTGTTGGAAAAAATCTGTATTTTTCTCTCCTGTGGGTATTCCATAAGGCCCCATGTTCTGTTAAAAACAAAGATTTCATTCTTCCTTTCATACTTCACCTCAGTTGTATCCTTTACAGCCTGTGGTGTGGGCAGAATAGTGCAGTGAAGCTGCACATCTTTTCTAGCAGTATAGCTTGGTCATAACTGCAGTAAGCTACGGAAATGTTGCATTGTCGCACACAGGCAGGTTTATTCAGAGGCAGTTTGTTTGGATTCTAGGTTAAGTCTACCGTGAATGCACGGACGTGCAGTTTAGTTTTGCATAAACTACCTTAAGCCTGATATCCTGGGCTTGGATAGCTGTGCTTCTGCGCTGCTTCTCTGCGAATTTACTAGCTCAGGGTGAGGACAGATTGAGGATCTCTGCAGGAAGGTCAGATCACTGACTTTTTTTTTTTTTAATTTCTTTGGGTTTTTTTTGTTCCCTTGCATTTCAGGTATGTATTGCACTAGATTAATTTACATAACATTTAATGAACCAATGTTGTTTTTAGTGTTGACTAGATGTGCCGGTAAACAGTATAACAAAAGTTGCTTGAAGATGGCTAGGTTGTCATGAGAAAGGTCAAAGACTCCATAAAATTCAGCACCTACATTTTTTTCCCAAGGTTTGTCCTTTTATTTCTTCCTGCCTTTGTTGAAAGGCAAAGAAACAATGGATATTAGAGGGGAAGGAAGATTTCATAGAATCATAGAATCATAGAATGGTTAGGGTTGGAAGGGACCTTAAAGATCATCTAGTTCCACCCCCCCTGCCATGGGCAGGGACACCTTCCGCTAGACCAGGTTGCTCAAAGCCTCATCCAGCCTGGCCTTGAAGACATCCAGGGATGGGGCATCCACAACATCTCTGGGCAACCTGTTCCAGTGCCTCACCACCCTCTCTGTGAAGAATTTCTTCCTGACATCTAATCTAAACCTCCCTGATTTCAATTTCTACCCATTACCCCTTGTCCTATCACTGCAGGCCCTTGTAAAAAGTCCTCTCCCAGTACCCTTGTAGGCCCCCTTCAGATACTGGAAAGCTGCAATGAGGTCTCCTCGGAGCCTCCTCTTCTCCAGGCTGAACAAGCCCAGTTCTCGCAGCCTTTCGTCATAGGAGAGGAGCTCCAGCCCTCTGATCATCTTCATGGCCCTCCTCTGGACTCGCTCCAAGTGGTCAATATCCTTCTGATATTGAGGGCTCCACAGCTGGACGCAGTACTCCAGGTGGGGTCTCACCAGAGCAGAGTAGAGGGGCAGAATCACCTCCCTCGACCTGCTGGCCACACCTCTCCGGATACAGCCCAGGATACGGTTGGCTTAAATACTTGACAATGTAAGATAGTTCTTTTTATGGCATTTTCTAGTGGTATGCCATGTCTGATTTTGCATTCTACAAGTGATGGTCTTTCAGTTTCATTCATGAGATTTTGTTGTCAGGAAGCTATTTCAAATATTACGCTGGAGATCACCGTTCTTAGCTTTCCTCTACTACCTCCAGACATGATGCACAGGTAAAATCCACTAATTTAACTTGCACTTCCATCTCCACATGCAGATCTGTCACTAGGAAGTCTGTTCTGTCTTGGCTTAGTTACCTTGTAATGGGGCTTTTCAAGGTTAACTGTCTTAGGTTTCCTCATAAAGTTAGTCAGTCAGTTTTACCAACTCCAGTTCTTTCCC